CCTCCCCGTCCGCGAGCCGCACGCCCGGGAGGTCCACGCAAAAGCGCGCAGCCGCCGCCGTGTCCAAGGCCTTCAGCTCGACGGCCTTGGCCTCGTCCATGTGCTCCTGGGCGACCTTGACCTGAAGGAGGAGGAGGAGGAGGAAGAGGGGGGATGATGATGATGATGATGATGATGATGATGATGATGATGATGATGATGATGATGATGATGATGACGATGATGATGTTGATGATAATGACAATGGATGATAATGATAATGATGATAATGATGATGTTGATGATGATGATGATGATGATGATGATGATGATGAAAGCGCGCCAGTGGATAGCCCTGAGTACACTAAAGGGGGGGGGCTCGCAGAACCCCCCCCTCCCCCCCTTCAAAGGGGGGGTGAGAGTTTCGACCCCCCTTCTCCCCTCCCCCCCCCCCCACCTTGGCGCTGGAAACGGACAGACAGAGAGAGACAGCCCATAGAGGTGTCAAGAGCACTCCTACACCTCCGGCCTTGCGCCGGGCTGTGGGAAACATTATGTCGTCATCAGGCGTCTGTCCACCGTTTGTGCTGTCCGCCTTGCTTTCTCGCAGCCGGCACCCTATGCCACGGCGCCCAGTTGAGCGCTCTTCCACTCCAACGACTCTCTGCGCAGACGGAGATCTTGTCGGCAACGGCCTTCTTCGCCTTCCTGAAGAGCGCGGTCCAATCCTCCACTCCGAACTTGGTGGCAAGCTCTTCGCTGATGTGAGTGGCCCGCTTGATGTGAAGGACCCACGATTCATCCGCTTGGCGTCCAACTCGTACCACGTTACGCAGCATACTGCGCTGTGTCGTACGAAGCTTCCTCTCTTGGTCCACGGTTAGAGTCCAAGTTCCGGATGCATACATCACGGTTGGAGCGACGCAAGCATGGAACAAACGCATGCGATGCCGGAGAGGTAGACGTCGCTGGCATAGAATGCGTGAGCTTTGTCTCGTGATACGTATCCAAATTCAACTTCCTGCCCAAGTACTTCTATGACTCCCCTTGCTGTAGGACGCGAACGTCATGCCCCATGAATCTCACTGTGGACGGTCGCGGAATAGCGTTGTGAGAATCGCAGTCTTCCCCATGTGCACCTTCAGACCGTACTCTTTCGCTTCCGTCTCCAGGTCCACGATCATCCTGGCCACGTCCCTCTCGTTTGTGCACAGCAGGAGGACATCGTCCGCAAAGCGGAGTTCGTCAGGGGCAGGTCAGGGGAGTCTATGACGATGCCGTAGTGCGGCCCCGTGCGGCGCTCGCTCAGGCTCTCCCAGCGCGCCTTCAGCTTCCTAAAGATAGCCTCCATCACGACCACGAACAAGTAGGAGCTGATGGGGTCGCCCTGCTTGACCCCGCGTGAGATTTCAAACTGCCCGCTCCTTGTTCCAGCCATTACTGCGGCCCGTTGCTTCGCGTAAAGTCTCCTCAGGATGTTGATGTAAGCGTGCGGAACACCTTGCTCTCGCAGCGCCGCCCACAGCGCGTCGTGCTCCACCCTGTCGAATGCTTTCTCGAAGTCCACCATGCCGACCCAGGGCTCTACGTTGTAGCCCCCGCTGCCCTCGAAACAGAAAGTCGTGCACAACAAGGGGTCCACCGTGCTGAAGCCACGCCTGCACGCCGCCTGGTCGACCGACTGTCCACGAGCAATGACCCCGCGAAGCCTCCCGCAGAGCATCCGGCTGAACAATTTGTACAGCATTGAAAGGATTGCGATTGGGCGGTAATTTGAAGGTAACGTCGGCTCTCCTTTCTTGCGCAGCTCAATAATTCGAGAAGAAAGCCAATTTTGCGGGGTGTCCTGGGCTGGGTTCAAGATTGCCTTGAAAGTCTCCAGCACGAGGTCCCGCAGCAGGCGGCACTCGACCTTCAACATCTCAACGCATATGCCGGAATCGTCCCTGGACTTGCCGTTCTTGGTCTGCCGGAGGGCGTCGCCCAGCTCGTCGGCGGTGCAATCTGGCACTCTGTCGTTGCCAACCTGCTCTGTCGTGGCGCTGGAAACGGGGGGGGGTTCGACCCCCCTCCCCCCTTTGCGCCGAACAGAGGGCTGCGGAGGTGGCCTCTCGGGTAGCGAGTAGAGAGTAAAGTGTTTTGAGCAGCGATTGGTGAATAGTGGGTATTTGATAGTGAGTAGTGCGCAGTGAGTCGTGAGTGGTGAATAGGGAGTAGGAAGTAGTGAGTAGTGGTAGTAGTGAGTAGCGCGTAGAGATTAGTGAGTAGCGAGTAGCGGGTAGTTGGTAGTGAGTAGTGTGAAAGAAGTAGTGAGTAAGGAATTGTGAGGAGTGAGTAGTGACGAGGGAGTAGTGTGTAGTGAGTAGTACATAGTGAATAGTAAGCAGGGAGTAGGGATGAGGGAGTAGACAGTAGCAAAAATCGAGGAGTGAGTAGTGAGTAATGAGTAGTGACTAGTGCGCAGTGAGTAGAGAGTAGTGAGTAGTGAGTGGTGAGTAGCGAGTAGCGAGTAGCGAGTAGGGAGTAGCGAGCAGGGAGTAGCGAGTAATGAGCAGTGAGTAACGAGTAGGGCGTTGTGAGTAGTGAGTAGTGAGGGTGAGTAGTCTGGAGTCAGCAGTGAGTAGCGAGTAGGGAGTAGTGCGTGGCGAGTAGGGAGTAGCGAGTAGTGAGTAGTGAGTAGTGAGTTGTGAGGGGTGAGTAGTGAATCGGGAGCAGTGAGTAGGGAGCAGCGAGAAGCGAGAAGGGGGGATTTGAGCAGTCGTTAAAAAAACGAGTAGCGAATAAAAATTAGTGAGTAGTGAGTCGTGAGTAGTGAGAAGCGACTTCCGACTAGTGACTAGTGAGTAGGGAGTAGGGAGTAGGGAGTAGTGGGTAGTGAGTAGCGAGTAGGGCGTAGTGGGTAGTGAATATGTCCTATGGGGTAGCGAGTAGCAGATAGTGAGTAGTGGGCACTGGGCCGTGCTTATTGAGTAGTGAATTGTGAGCTCTCAGTCGTAAGTAGTGAATAGAGGTTAGTAGGTCGTGAGTAGTGCTTAGTGAGTAGTGAGTAGTGGGCAGTGAATATTGTTTAGTGAGTAGTGAGTACTGGGTACTGCGTAGCGAGTAGTGAGTAGTGAGTTGGGAGTGGTGAGTAGGGAGTAGGAAGTAAAGTGAACAGTGGGAGCGCAGCGAGTAGTGAGTAGTGGGTACTGAATAGTGCGTATTGGGTAGCGAGTAGGGCGTAGGGAGTAGCGAGTAGTGAGTACTGAGTAGTGAGTACTGAGTAGGGAGTAGGGAATAGCTCGTAGCGAGTCGTGGATAGTGAGTAGTGAGTTGTGGGCAGCGAGTAATAATTAGTGAAGTGTGAGCAGTGAGTAGTGGAATAGTGGTTACTGGGTAGTGAGTACTGATCTGTCATTAGCCAATAGTGGGTAGTGACCTGTGTTTAGTGAATATAGAGTATCGAGTACTGGGTAGTGAGTAGTGAGTAGTGTTTAGTGAGTAGTTAGTGGTGGGTAGGGGATACGAAGTAGTGAGTAGTGCGTCGTGGGTAGTGAGTCAAGGGTACTGAGTAGTGAGTCGTGAGTAGTGAAAAGTGAGTAGCGAGAAGTGAGTTGTGAGTAGCGAGAAGTGAGTTGTGGGTAGTGAATAGTGCGTAATGAAGAGTGGGTGCTCTTTGGGGCTAGGGTTTGGGTTTGGGGTTAGGGTTAAGGGTTAGGGCAAGGGTGGGGATCAGTGCTAGGGGCGGTAGCAGTCGGGTTCTGGAAACCAGGGGCGCCGCGGCGAACAGGGGAAGGGGGGGGGGGGGGGGGCGAATTTGGTGGCAAAGGGGAGGGGGGGGGAAGGGCGGACCCCCCTCGCCCGTTTTGAATGGGGGGGGGGATGGAAGGGGGGGGGGCGAACGACGGACCGGGACAAGGGGGGAGGGGGGGGCCGACGACGGATCGGGAAAGGGGGGAAGGCGGGGAGGGGGAGCCCCCGACGACGGATCGGGGGAAAGGGACGGTGGGGGGGGCCAGCCCCCCCCCCCCTTTGGGTCATCCAGCGGCGCGCCCTCGATGATGATGATGGCGATGCTGATGATGAGAACGAGGGTAATGATGACGATGGGATGACGATGATGATTGAGATGATGATTATGATGATGATGAGTGTGATGATGATGATGTTGATGATGCTGGTGATAATGATGATGATATTGCTGATGACGATGATGATGACGTTTGTGATGATGGTGATGCTGATGGTGATGGTGATGTTTTTTTCCCGCACGAAACCGACGGCGGCGGGCGACGACAACGCGACGACGACCTCAAGGAAAAAATACACGTCATGCGCGCGAGCCCCGGAGGAGGGGAAGAGGGAGGACCACGATCAGCAATTAAGCCAGTGACCGCCATCTCGAGTTGCACACGGCCCCTCGGCCAAGGGACGCACGCGGCACACGGCGCAAGAAAGAAGGTGCATTGCTGCATTTCATCGGGCACCTGCGTTTGGCAGGAGATACACAAGAAGCGGAGAGCATGGCATTGCACGCCCTGGCTTGCACGGGATGCACAGAGCCCCACGCCGTCCGCAAAGGATAAAGGGACCCGCGCTAACCCACAGTTCAAATTCAAAGAAAAGCAAACAGAGAGAGGCTTTGTGGGAACCTCTGGTCGGCGGCCGCACCCCGCCCCCAAGCCGGCGGCGCGCGGCGGCCGCAGCGCAGGGAGAGGCAGAGAGGCAGGCGGAGAAAGGGGGGAGCAAACACCGAGACAGTCGAGCGCCTAGCATTCTCGTTGTGTCTGCAAGGTGGTCTTGCAGCATCTCCAAATCTCCACAGCACTCGCCGCGCAAATCCATGCGACCAGGCTTCCTGAATTATTGGGCGCCTCCCACAGTGGAGAAGAACACGGGCTTCAAAGAGGTCTTTGGCGGGGGGACAGGAGCCCCCCCGCACACACGCGTGGACACGCAAGAACCCGTCAAGGAGCGAAACACACAGCAGTTTCAAACTCGGGAACGGAGGGGGGCAATAAGGGTTAAACAACGGAACCAGGACTCCTCGCTAAAAAATGAAGGATGCAAGGGGCGAGGTCTAAACTCAGTCGGCGAAATTCAGGACATACCACATAGTGTTGCATAGAGTCGGGAGCCCCAGGGCTCCCACAATTCCAACAACATCGTTCAGGTCCACGGTGGAATCGGGCACTAGTGCACACACCACGGGATAGTACTCGTAGCACAGCAAGACCCAGATACAGAGAACAATAATTGGTAACCTTGCGGATAGCCTGAATAACACCTGAGATCTGGGCAACTGAAACACAAGGGAGCCAACGATTCACCCGCACCAGCAGGCAATGTTCGGGGGGGGCAGGGGCGGGGCGGGCACGCAGACGGCTGAACAGTTTCATTTGGAGTCCCTTGGCCTGCAGGAAATCAAAACATACATCGATGTTGACAACCCCTGGTCGAGACCAAAATGCGAGCGAACGAGTGGTGCCACCACGGGTACCTGACACGCCCAGGGTGGAAATGGAGAAAGCACGGGAGTGATGAACCAGTCGAACCTGCGTCGCGATACTCACCAGTTCCAGATCAGGAAATTCAAGGCTGAGCCCCAAGTCCCGAAGCCGAGTGCAAATAATACGGTTGAACGAGAAGCGCGGGCCAACAATGAGTTCTTGGTGCATAGTGAGCTCACATTTCCGAACAGCACGAGAGATAGAGTAGAACTGCATCACATATCTTAGCAACGAAACAGCGAAAATCCTATACGTACGAATAGTCATTGCCAGATCGAGACGAAGACGACGAATCTCAATACAGCGCTGATGGTACCTCTACACTGCAACATGCCACGCCTGCACATACACTGCAGGCCCATTTTAAGTCTCCAGATAACGAGCGTGCCGCACAAGCTGGATCGACGCAGCACCAGGCCCCAGGGACCCCAGGAGACGCCGTACGTGCCGAGACATGCGCGGTGAGAGAAGCAGCCCACAATGCACCAAAACACATGTCGTAAGATTCAGAGAGAGACCAATCGCACCATCCAAGCTCTGCAACAAAGGTAGCTAGAGAGGAAGCCCGAGAAGAACATCACGCAGTGCAAACCAGAGATCGTCAGCGCATAGAATAATCATTGTAGGCATACGTGAGCTGATCCATCGAATGCAGGGGCCGAGAGGCAATGCGAAGAGAAGCATACTGGACGGGCCCCCTTGGCGCACACCACGGTCCAGACGGATACTTCTATGCCGTTTCCCACCGAAGCGAATGTGCCCCATACTCTCGGAGTAAAGCGCCTCGAAGAAACCAATAACCTCAGGGTGAACTTGCATCCGAACCAGGACCCGAAGAAGCCAGGAAATAGCGATGCTTGGAACGCTGCCGCAATGTCCGTGAGGAACATGCGGGAAAAAGACCCTTCCAACATAAACTGCTGAAGCCTCCAGACTTTGGCACCCAGAATTTAATCCGTCATCGAGCGCCCCTTGAGACACGCCTGAGCTGTCAACACGGTCTCAAGGGCCACCTGTTCTAGCCTCAAAAAAGAGCCAGGGGCATAATCGCACAGCCAGCGTCAGCCATCGCAAGCGGTCGGCAAGCCCCAGGAGAGCGTGAAGGAGTCGAGGAGAGATCAGATGGATGGTCCCCTTTCGCAAGAAACACCAATAGGATCTCTCGCATGCTCGCTGACATGTCCGCGCCACGATGCTCCATCAAATAGCAGTAGAGATCATACGAGACAGCAATGGGTGCGGGAGACTTCCAACCCGAGTACACACTACCGTCGGGGCCAGGCATGGAGTCTTGACGCCCTCGAACGAGTTCCTCGAACGAATCCAAATCCGGATACCACTGTTCGTCAGATAGTCCAGGAACAGGAACAATATGATTTTCCGGGTCGGCCCAGAGATCCATATCACAAACATGCTCACCAAAAAACAACTCCCAATGGACAGCAAGGGCTTCACCAGCTTCATCGGAAGAGGCACATGGGAACCCATCAGGGCCAATACTGTTCCCCAGGGAAACTCTCTTCTGAAGCGGCCTCCAGAGTTCCTTATGGCGTTGCAACCTTGCTCGCACACGTGCCTTCAAGTCATGCTTTTCCTCCTGGTCCGCAGCCCCGTCCAGTTCCGAAATGCGAGCGTTTTGTAACGTCTGTATGTGATCAGAGAGAGAGGGCATAGAGAAGCAAATGCCAGACGAGAGGTCAAAGAAACGTGCGAGATCAGGGTAGCACTGCACCGCATCACTGACCCTCTGCAAGCCCCGTGCACGCACCACACGTGATGATGATGGTGATGATGATAATGATGATGATGATGATGTTGATGATGATGATGCTGATGATGATGATGACGACGATCAGGATGATGGTGATGATGATGATGATGGTGGTGGTGGTGATGGTGATGGTGATGGTGATGGTGATGGTGATGGTGATGGTGATGGTGATGGTGATGGTGATGGTGATGGTGATGGTGATGGTGATGGTGATGGTGATGGTGATGGTGATTGTGATGGTGATGGTGATGGTGATGGTGATGGTGATGGTGATGGTGATGGTGATGGTGATGGTGATGGTGATGGTGATGGTGATGGTGATGGTGATGGTGATGGTGGGGGGGAGGAGGAGGAGGAGGAGGAGGAGGAGGAGGAGGAGGAGGAGGAGGAGGAGGAGGAGGAGGAGGGGGAGGCAGGAGGGGGGGATAGGGATGGGGGGAAGGGGGAGGAAGGGAAGGGGGAGGGGCAAGGAGCAGGGGTGCAAGCTGGGTGCGCAAGCGTCGTACCTGACGACCTACACCTCCCTCCCATCCCTTACCCCTGCGTAGATCTCCTCTCTGGTCGCACAGACGGATGTCGAGCGGGGCACTGAACACGAGAGAGAGTGCGCGATGCATGGTTCGGTGGCAACTCATGGGAGCATCCCATGCCATCTTGTCGGCTCTTGCGAGTCGACGCTAATCGACGCTACATCGACGCTAATCGACCGGCGCTGTCTCACCGACTCCCAGACGCTAATCGACGCTGAAGACAAAATTACGAAGGTACACAAGTCTCCCATGATTTGCTACCGAAGCATGGTATAGTATAGCACGGCATAGCACGGCATAGAAGAGCACAACCACAGCCGACGTCGTCTCGTCGAGAACGCGACTCGTTTCGACAACAAGGTCAGAGGGAAACAAGAGATGGCACAGGACGGGCAGTGCAAATGGACGGCTTGGAAAGCGGGACACGCAAAATGAGATCAGCGCAGCCGCGGGAGCACGATTTCGAAGGACCGAGACCGCAGAAATAAGACCAGCGCTGCAGGGGGAGCACGATTTGGAAGGACTGGAAGCGCGGAACCGAGGCCAACGCTGCAGCAGGAGCATGATTTGGAAGAACCTAAACAATGAAATGAGGTCAGCGCAGCAGCGGGAACATTATTTGGGAGGACTAAGAACGGGAGAATGGAGCCAACGCTGTAATGGGAGCGCCATTCTGAAAGGACTGAAAACGCTCGGATTGGAAAAACACAAATGAGTTGTCAGCTCCGCGGCATCCAGTGTAAAGAACAATACGCGGAGGAGGACAGGACAACTCACGGGCGCCTTCGGGGGCGAGAGGAGAGTATTCTTCATGTTGTGTAGTTGTTGAGGTGGTAGGAGAAGAAAAGAAAGGAAGGGGGAAGGAACTAGAGGGCGTGGGGCGGGGGGGGGGCTGTCCAGGGAGGATCAGGAGAAGGAACAGGAGGAGGAGCTAGGAGAAGAGGTGAGGAGGTACGAGAAGAGGTGTGAGGAGGACGGAGGGGCGAGGGAGGCGTGAAGGAGGAGGAGTAGGACGACGACGAGGGACAAAGAGAGGAGAAGGTGGAGGAGTTGGAGGAGTTCGAGGAGATAGAGGAGGAGGGGGAGGAGGAAGAGGAGGAGGAGGAGGACGACGACGACGACGGCGGTGGCGGGTGGGAGGCTGAGCAGCACGCGGAGGCGCAAGGGGAGCTCTGGCCGCTCCCGACCTTCTCCTTCGATCCGGCAAGGGCCTCATTCGCCGCCGCCAGCCCGGCGCGCGCGCTCGCGAGCGAAGAGCTCGCCTCCGCGTTGCTGGCGTTGGCCTCCTGCGCCATCTGCTCGGCCTTCGTCACGTTGTCGGCGGACTCCCGCCCCGACGACGACGACGACGACGACGACGACGACGACGACGATAACGACGACGACGACGACGACGGCGACGACGGCGAAGACGGCGACGACGACGACAACGACGACGACGGCGACGACGACGGCGACGACGACGACGGCGAGACGACGGCGACGACGACCGACGGACCGCGGCGACCGAGACGGCGACGACGACGACGGCGACGGCGGCGACGGCGACCCGATTCGGTCCGCAGAGATAAAACCGGGGGGTCATTTCCGTCGGTCGTCGCCGTCGTCGTCGTCCGTTCGCGTCGGAATTGTTGTCGCGTCGGCTGGCGGTCCGCCGTCGTTCGTTCGTCGTCAGCACTGTCGAAGTCAGTCGCAGCACTGCACCTGTGGGTCTTCCAACGCAAGGTTCCAACGCCGACCTTCTCCCCTCGGGGCGAAAGGCTTTGGGGAGGGGGAGAGCAAGCGAGACACTGAGGGGCAAGGCGAACAGGGAGAACTCTCGGGTGTTGCTAGAAGTGCCCCCCTGGCCCAAGGTGCCCCCAGGATGCTCGGGATGGCCCAGACGGCCTCCACAGCACCCCCCACGAGGCCCAGAAGGCCCCAGGGGCCCGAAAATGAAGCGAAGAGCTGGAGGTGCTTTGGGCCAGGGGCACTTCCAGCAGCACCCGAAGAAAACCCAGAGATGCTTGCGTCTCACTTCTTTCGGGCCCGGCGTGTCCGCCTTCTTTCGGGCCCCGGGGCCCTCGCAGGTCGATCCGGCTCGCAAAGTGACGCAGAAAGATGGGTTCTTTGGGGCTCCGGGCGTGATTCTTTGCGATGTTGCATCGGCGCCCATATGCACCTTACCGTGTCTGTACTCCCTTCGGGCCCCGCTCCAACGCGGTACGGTGCACAGTTCTCTGTCTCTGGGATGCAACGTACCATGCCTGGGTCGAGAGGATCGACGACGCCTCCGGGAAGGCCAACGCGGCACAATGCACACAAGTCGTCCCCAGACCTCTGCAGCTTGGATCTGCGCTGGGTCCCCCTCCGTGGGGCGCGGGGCGCGCCATACGGGCGGCGCGGAGCGCGCTCAGCACTGCAGAATAACGCAGATCCAAGAAACCCGCACGGCCCTCCGAAAACTTCTGCTCATGCATCTGTGCAGTCTTCGACTTCTGCTGTGCCCAGTGGCTCCGGTCGGTTGCTTCTCTGGCCCCCCGAACCCTAGAGAGACGGGACCACGGCGGGCCTCCACCCTCAAGCTCGCCGCCTTCTTCGTGTCGCTCTCGGCGCCAGAGGTCTTCTGCTTGGCATCATGGTGGCCTTTCTTAGCCTTCTGCTTCTTGTCCTTCGCGGTCTTCATCTCCTCCTCGAAAGTGTCCGAGTCCGTCTTCGACTGCGTCCGCAGCTCCTCCTCCGCCTGCTTCGCCTTGCCCAGGTCCTCCTCCAGCATGGCCTTGACGGCACCGGGGTCCAGCGGCTCCTCCGCGGGCTCCTTCTTCCCCTTCTTCTCCTTCTTCTCGCTCGCCCCCGCCTTGCTCTCCGCGAGGCTGCTGCTGGCTCCTGGCGCGGCGCGCACCCCCGCGTGCCCGCTGCCGTGCCCCGTGCACCACGCCGCCGCCCCCACCACGGCCAACACCGCACAGCCGGCGAGCACCGTGCGCCGCGCCGGTCGCGTCCAGCGCCGCACCTCCTGCGCGTCGCCGGCCTCCAGGTCCGAGCCCACCAGGAGGATGCTGGCGCGCTCGTCCATGCTGGCCGTCCCGCTTGGCCGCGAGAGCGCGAGGGCTGGCTTCGGCCCGAGGCGCGTTAGTGCCGACAGCGCGCCGAGGCCTTGATCGGACGCGGCTGCGGCGGCTTCGGCGCTGACGCGTCTGAAACCTGCTGGCTGGTTCTCGGGCGCCCTCCCCTCGCCATTGCAGTCTCGCCCTTCCCCTGGCGTCCGATCGGCACTCCCTGCTCTGGGCTCCACGAACTCATCATCATCCTCTCCCTGCCCTGCTGCTGGTGATCCTCACCCTTCTCGCAGTCATCTTCCCCCTCTGGACTCCTCCACCCTCATCCTGTCCCACCTCCTCCGCCTCCTCCTCCTCCAGGGCCCTCCTTCTGTTACGACAACTTCTACGGGTAATGAAAAAGATGCGACTGTTACTAATACTGCTATTTCTGCTGCTGCTATTAATATTTCTACACACTGTAAAATTCCGAGGTAACACCTGAATACAATGAGAACAGTTGCTACCGCCACGAGCAATGATATACAACAATCCCCCTCACCATCATGATCACCAACCTCTTCATCATTCGTCGCCCTCCTCCTTCCTCCCTCCCTCCTTCCGATCGACCGCACGATGTGGGTTCCTGACACACCCTTTGGCAAGCCCCCCAGCATACCACCTCGGCCGACGCGGCCCCTCAGCTTCTCGGGCATCTGGAGAAATTGACCGAGGGAGGCCCTCGTGGACTGGACGAAGCGAGGGACCAGGACCAGACAAGGGCGAGGGCCAGGTCAAGGATAAGGACGATACACGCGGGGAAAAAAATAGCATGAGGACGACGACGACGACGACAACGACGAGGAGCCACGGGAGGGGAGGGGAGGAGACGGAGCAGCAGCAGCACGGGTAGGACGAGGAGGATGGAGCGGATCTGGAGGATCTGACTACTCGTGACTCACTCGTGCAAAGCTTCGACCCCTCGCACGCTGGCGAGAGAAGACCTCGGCCGTCTTCACAGAAGCCCGTGAAATCCAACCCCGGGTCT